GTCGGGTGCGGGACCGTCGCTTCTGCCGTGCACGTTGGGAAGCCGGTACATACAGGTGGGAAGCTCTACACGGAGAGGCGAGCCGCCCCCGTGATAGGGCTTTACCTGATACATCGGCATTGCGGGAACCAGATGGAAGGTGGCGCGTGACGGACACGGACGCTCAGAAGCCGTCCAGCGCCACGACTGACTGCTGCCACCTCCTCTCTGATCCTGCTGCGGGCGTTCGGGAGAAAGCAGTCCGTGCGCTCTAATTGGCTCGGGCTCCCTAACGTCACGGCCTCGACCTTTGACAGAGCCAATAAGCGAGAAGGCGATATCGGAAGCATTTGCAGCCCCGCCAGGAAGGGGCGGGGCAACTCTTAAAAACAACCAATGGGCGTCCGGGAGGCGGGGCTCCTGGGGCGCATCGGCGGGAACTCCTCCGCCGTCCCGGAGTCCCGTCGGGGTTCTGCATCCATGGAGCAGGCCGGGGGTTCGAGGTGAGCGACGCTTTTGGTCTGCTCGCGCGCGCGCCCTCTTTGAGTCCCACGTTCTACGCCCCTGGAGAGGAAAGCGAGCCCGCGGCGGGGAAGCCCCAGAGCGGCGTCCCGAGCGCTCCTCTGACCCGGTGACCTTTGGGTGTGCTTTGGGCCCGGGGTCTCGCCCCTCGGCGTCCAGGGCTGTGGGCGGGGGCGCTCGGCGCTTTGGGGTGTTGGGATCGGCCGGCTCCCAGTCGGGCCCTGCCGCTACGCCGTCACCAGGCCGTGGACTTGAAGCCGAAGCATGAAATAGCCGAAGCTTGAATTTGTTTCCCTTTTACCTGGTTTCTTTCTCTCTCTCTCTCTCATTGTTTTTTGAGTTGAGGTTATTTAGGGGAGCGTCAAGACACATTCTCATTTGCATGGTCGCCGAGTCTTAAAAAATGCTATGCTTCTGTGTGTGTTTGGGTACGTGATTTCTGTCCGGAAAGCTACAACGACTTTACGGCCTAGCGAATCTTCAGTCAGGTTCAGTGTCGGATTCCTAGGCGCCTAATTTCTGTCCAACGGCATTTACATGTATTAAGTACATTTAAATAAATTATGCCGTCTGCATTTAAATGTGCTTTAAGGCAAGGATTGTAGAACATTGTTTATGAGTATGAAAAAGGTGTCTGTTACTGTAATCTGTGAGTCGATTAAACCCATAAGCTGTTAACAGTGATGAGTCATTTCCCACAGTTAAAATCAGGATGAAAATATTCAACTGAATACTTGTTTCTTGTGACTGGTTTCTTCTTTAGTACGGAACTTGCTAAGACCATCAAACCTATTGATCGGAAGTCGGTCCATCAAATTTGTTCTGGGCAGGTGGTACTGAGTCTAAGCACTGCTGTGAAGGAGTTGGTAGAAAATAGTGTGGATGCTGGTGCCACTAATATTGGTAAGTGTGGGAGAGTTTTAAGCCACAAGAAATAACCAGTGTATGTTATTTTATTCAAGAAACATTTGTTACTGTAATCAAGTGTTGGTGTACCAGTAAATTATTTTTAAGTTAGCACCTATTATGTACTTAGTACTTTGCTAAGTGGTAATAATAACTGAACTTTTATTGTGCTCTTACTGTGTGCCAGGTAGGTATTGTGCTGAGCATTGTACATAGTATATCTCATCTAATCTGCAGAATAACTTTATGAGATAGGAATGATAATGATTATCATTATTATCTCTGTTTTACAGATGAGGATATTATGGGACAGGGAATTTACTTTTTTTGAGATTGTAAAGCTAGTAAAATCTGATCCTGGAAGTCCTATTCTAGAGCCTGTTATTTAATGGCTATGTTAAAATTATTCCTTTCAAAGACAGAAAAAGCTAAACTGTTTAATCTGGGCTAGTAAATAGTCAAAAAGTTTTTTAAAAAATGAAATACACAAAATGACAGTAGTATCTTTAGGTTACTGGTATAGTTATGAATATTAAATTTGTATTATGTTATAAATAATGTCAATGTAAAAACTTTTAGCATGGATCGATCTTTAAGAAATACTTAAATATTTTAAACTTTTTAGATTTGAGGCTTAAAGACTATGGGGCGGATCTCATTGAAGTTTCGGACAATGGATGTGGGGTAGAAGAAGAAAACTTTGAAGGCTTGAGTAAGTTGAATTTTTCTGATTCTGTTATAAAATAATGGGGCCAGATGACCTATAGAATTTTTATTAACGCTGTTAGGAAACAGAAAAACAGTTTTTAAAAACATACCAGTTGCCGGGCTCGGTGGCTCAGCCTGTAATCCCGCGCCTTTGGGAGGCTGAGGTGAGTGGATTGCCTGAGCCCGTGGGTTCGAGACCCGCCTGGGCAGCGAGACCTCATCTCTACAATAAATCAAAAAATCAGCCGGGCGTGGTAGCACATACCTGTAATTCCGGCTACTCGGAAGGCTGAGGCGGAAGGATCGCCGGAGCCCAGCAGGCGAGGCTGCGGTGGCCGGGAGCGGCCACTGCACTCCAGTCTGGGTGACTGAGTGAGACTCCAACTCAAAAAAAAAAAAACATACCAGTTACTTTGGTAGGTATTTTGTATATTCATTGCTATATCACTTGAGATATCTTGGGCCTTACTTTACACTCTCTTTCAGCTCTGAAACATCATACTTCTAAGATTCAAGAGTTTGCTGACCTAACTCAGGTTGAAACTTTTGGCTTTCGGGGGGAAGCTCTGAGCTCACTTTGTGCACTGAGGTGATGCAATATTTTTATGCATTAACTTGACCCCTTATAAGAAACCCTTCTGAAAATGAAAAAGTATAATTAGAGTCATAATTATCTATACTTTTCTATATCTGTGTCTCAACTTCTAGCTTCTGAATTCTGTTTTATCTCACTACCAGTCTAAATAATAACTTTTGAAATGTGAACAATAAGTAAATGAAATCAAGCAAATAGTATTGTAAAAAAAAAGTTATTACCCTTATTAAAGCAGTTATTTCTCAAGTTTAAAATAGCATATAGCTAATAAATTATAGGTACCATTGGTTTTAATTTTTTCAATTTTTAGGAAAAAATTTAACCAAAGTACTTATTTGCTTATAGTACAGATTCTAAATTTTTATAAATTATTACTTATAATATATTTGGATTCTTTTTAAAATTTTTGTTAGAACAGTAGTAACAAAAATGAGAAATCTCTGTGCAAACAAAATTTTGAGATCCTTGATTGTTTTGTAGTTCAACCTAAAAAACTAAGTCAAATCTTCTACCAAAACAAAAGATTTATAGAACTCTGTCTTACTGTCTTTTAGGTCTCAAGTCTTAGATTTTATGACTCCTCATCCATTTAAATGCTCTTGATTATCTCAGAGGGATCATCATCTTTTAAAGAAAGTTTTGAGAGAAAGGGAAGTGAGAAAAAGAGTATTTGGTGTCCAGCATTGTGATTCTCTATATGAACCTACCATGCCTGGCATTTTCTTACAGTGATGTAACTATTTCTACCTGCCATACGTCTGCAAAGGTTGGAACTCGACTGGTGTTTGATCACAATGGGAAAATCATCCAAAAAACCCCCTATCCACGGCCTAGAGGGATGACAGTCAGTGTCCAGCAATTATTTTATACACTACCTGTGCGCCATAAGGAATTTCAAAGGAATATTAAAAAGGTACAGTACATTTTGAAGAGTGTTGATAACATAATATACATATGAGCAAAAGATTTAATAAAGATGTTTATTCTTCAGTTGATTCTTTTCCCTTACTTTTTTGAGAAGTACTTTATTTGCTTCTTCCCATCACAATCTTAACTTTAGAATGATTTACACTTTTCTTAAAAAGAATCATTAGGTTGAGCGCAGAGGCTTTTGCCTGTAATCCTAGCACTTGGGAGGCAGAAGTGAGAGGATTGCCTGAGCCCAAGGGTTCAAGACCAACCCAGGCAATTTGGCGAGACCTTGTCTCTCCAGTAAGTAAAAAAATAAACTGGGCATGGTCTAGTGTGCCTGTAGTTCCAGCTGCTTGGAAGGCTGAGGTGGAAGAATCGCCTGAGCCCAGCACTCAACCTGGGTGACGGAGTAAGACTCCAAGTCAAAAAAAAAAGAATTAAATAGTGTTTATTAGGTATTCTAGTATGGGAAATGGGTCTTTTAAGAAATAATATTTTCTGGCTATTTTTAAATATTACTTCTCTTGGTTCCTTGAGAAATGAATTCTTGCAACCTTGAATGCAAATGAAATAGCTAAATGTTATGTAATTACATTTAAAAAGCAGATATATAAAGTCAGGCACGGTGGCTCATGCCTGTAATTCCAGTACTTTGGGAGGCTCAGGCAGGAGGATCCCTTGAGCCCAGGAGTTAAACAACAGCTTGGGCAACATAGCAAGATCCCATCTCTGCAAAAAATCAAAAAATTACGGGGTGTGGTGGCACACACTTGTAGTCCCAGCTGCTTGGGAACCTGAGGCGAGGCTGGGGGTGTGGGGGTTTGAGGGATTGTGGGGGGAAACTGCTGGAACCCAGGAGTTGGAGGCTGTGGTGAGCCTTGATAGTGCCACTGTCCTCCATCTAGCCTGGGTGAGAGAGACTCTCACTAAAAAAAAAAAATTTAAAAACAAATGATAAAACTGTATTATGTGATTACAACTTTTGTCATTTTGTTAGAATAAATGGCCTAAATATGCCTAGAATAAAGGCTGGAAGAGTGAACACTTTAATGTTATCAGTGATTACATCCTTAGATGTGAGATCTCATGTACTTTTCTGTACGTATGTTTTTTAGTAAATTTGTATATATTTTTATAATCCAAAACATTGCATAAACATATGCAAACTTTTACTTGTAAAACAATTTGTTCTGCTGGGTGTGGTAGCTCAAGCCTGTGTCACACCACTTTGGGAGGCCAAGGCGAGAGTATTGCCTGAGGTCAGGGGTTTGAGACCAGCCTGGACAACTTGATGAGACCTCGTCTCTACAATAAATTAAAAGAAAAATAAGCCAGGCGTGGTAGCGCACGCAGGTAGTTCAGCTACTTGAAAGGCTGTCGTGGAAGGATCACCTGAGCCCAGCAGTTTGAGGCTGTGGTGGCCGTGAGCCTGCTACTGCACTCCAGCCTGGGTGACAGAGTGAGACTCCAACTCAAAAAAAAAAAAAAACCCAAAAAATCGATTTGTGCTAATTTCTACTTTATGGAATTTTACAAAAAATAGATAATACTATTTTTTCTTATCTTATGGTAAAAAATTGGTACCTCAGAAAAATACAGGAATATAGAACTTGTACTTGTTAGGTGACTATTATTAACAGTTTGTATATCTTTTCTGACTTAATTTCATGTGTTTATAAGTATTGGATTAATTTTCAAGATAAATTAATATAATGAATACACATAATATAGAATGTATTCAAGTAATACTGAATTGTGAATGGTTGAAAGTTGAAATTGTCTCTCTCCCTGCCAGAATTTTGTTTATATCCTTTAGACTTTAAATGTGCATGTGTATATGCAGTCTTTTTTTTTTCAGTGATATTTCCATTTATTTTATTTTAGTAATGAAAAGTTTTCTATCTCATACATGATTGAACACATAATTTGCTTTAAAATTAACAGTCACAATTGAAGAAACAACAGTTTATTTTTCTAATCAAGTGACCAAGCTGCTGAATCATAAGGCCTCAACAAATGTTGCATCTTATTATTTCATTGAACAATAAGACCTTCTATTTTAATTATTCCTGGTACATAGCGATTTTGTTTCTTCAGTGGTTTCCATTTGCCAAACAGTCACGACAGATGTTTTAACGTGGTGGCTGCTGCTTTCAGGGGATACTGTCAGATGAGTCCTCATTTCCAGCGCAGCAGCTGTTGGCACTCTTTCATCGAAAGTCCATGTATCAGGACTTCTCTATCGTGGTTGGCCAAGGAGTCCTGCTTTGGCTGCCAGGGCTTCATTCTGCTGAATATGATATTTCTGAAATCTCATGGATATTCTTTGTGTCATTTTAAAATATTTCTGTAAGCAATGTTCTGAACAGGTGGTCTCTTCAGGTTTTACTTCTCTTGTTGTGAAGTCTTTAACACCGTCCAAAAAGCAGGTTTCTGTAAGCTTATTGTAGGTACCAAGGAATTCCTTAAACTGCTTTATCTGATCAGATTCTGGTATTTGTGTAGCCATATTCTTTTGGTATGTTAATTAGTCACCTTTTCTGATGCATCAGTTTTTTCTGTTCTGGAAAAGTAGTTTCCAACCTTTGCTTGGCGGTCTCCAAGTGAGGCCTGATTTTTTACTTAGGCAAAGGCTCTTGCATCCAACATCAGTAAGATGGTGGGGGACTGCGCTGCGGGTGAACCTGGCAGCTGCCGCCGCCACCGCTAGCTGGAAAAGCATATGCAGTCTTTATACATATGCTTAGATTTTTTTTTAAACATCTAGAACTGTATTATACATACTGTAGTATAACTGACTTTTTTACTTAGCATATTGTAATTATCTTTTTTTGTTCAGTGTGTACTATCTTATTCTTTGCCATTCCACTGTGATAAGGATATATAATAATTTAAGTAACTCCTTGCTCATGATTGATTAGGTTGTTTCTGATTTTTCAGTTACAGATTGTTTCAGTGGACATTTTTGTATGTATCTTTTATGCTTGTGCCAGTCTTTCTACACGGATACATTTTTAGGGGAAGGATTACAAGGTCAAAAGGAATGTAATTTTCGATTTTTATAGCAGTGGGCCTGGAGCATCTGGAGGTGAGAGGACTAACTGAGCCAAAGGCTCTGAGTCCCATTCCATAGTATATGGAAAGATACCTCTTCATAGATTGTTCTGTCAGTAATACTTACCCTTATTTGTGGGGTGATATGAGAACTTTGAATTGGATGTTATAACTTGAACCATGTGATTCCTATAAGAGTAGAGTAATGTTGAGTTTTGTGTTTGTGTTTTTTAAACAGGAGTATGCCAAAATGATCCAGGTCTTACATGCATACTGTATCATTTCAGCAGGCATTCGTGTAAGTTGCACCAATCAGCTTGGACAAGGAAAACGACAGCCTGTGCTATGCACAGGTGGAAGCTCCAGCATGAAGGAAAATATTGGATCTGTGTTTGGGCAGAAGCAGGTAGTGGTGGCCAGTTACTTAATTTAAATACATTTTATTGCTCTGGGGATTTATGGCAGGTTTCTTCGATAGAATAGAAAATAAAATCCTTTCACAAAAATTAGTTTGGGAGCTGAAGATTTCTTATTTTACTCTTTCAGAAAATAACATGCCACATCTTTTAACTCTCTCTGAAAAAAACATAAATTATTGGAGGGCAATGTGTTGATTATGAATAAGTAAAAGCTCAAGTTTTTCACTGTTCTGGTATAAAATAAAAATTATAGCACTGCAAAGCGGTTACCAAGAGTCTATGAATTTCTTTATGCTCTTAACTTGGAGAGCTTGACTAGAAAAGGAAACAAACAAAAACCCTCATTTATCTTCTTTTCTGAAATTAGGTCCGTTCTGTCTGCATTAGGAAATGACGGTAACTGTTGGTTTCTTTTAGTTGCAGAGCCTCATTCCTTTTGTTCAGCTGCCCCCTAGTGACTCCATCTGTGAAGAGTACGGTCTGAGCTGTTCGGATACTCTGCATAATCTGTTTTAGTAAGTAGATTGCTACCAGGAAAACTACAGTGGGACATTTTTTCCTGAGGGTTGTTTTTTTTTTTTAAGATAGTGACTTTAAAGCTTGTAGTTTTTTATGTCCTTCATAAAACAGTGCTTAATTTCATCAGTAATTCTGGGTAACTGGTGCATTTCAGGGGGTTTCTCATTGAGCTAGTCTGTCAAGGCTCTGTTTCATTAAAATAACTTTTAAGTTATGTATAATTGACTTTTTTGAGATCTGGTGAAGGCACTTCAGCATTATTACTTGTAGTCTAGGAAAACAGACACTTTATAGGATTGGCCCTGTAAGATCTGTGTTTCTTACTCTTCCTCTACTGACTTTTGGCTTATACCTGAAATTGCAAAGATGGAGATTCATTTCTTTATATGAAGGTGTTGTTCTTATGGAAATGCAAATATCCCTGGGGTGGATCTCGTGTAGGTGAAGCACTTTACTGACATGTTAGTAGATAAAAGTTTTCTGACAGGGAGCAGATTTTAAAAGGGGAGGGAACATGGACAAAGGTCCTGCATACAAGTTGTTAGGCTCCATTGACAAACTAGTGGGGATAGTACAAAGGTTCTGAGAATGTGTTTGAGGTAAGACCCACTCCTATATGAGGCTTACCTTTGGAGGTAAGATGAAAGAAGAGCTGAAACAAATCAGTTTGTGAATGTACTGCGTTGCGTATGGTGGATTTGTATGTTGACTGTAGGAGCTTTAGAGCATTCCAGAAGGCCTGAATTCTTTCATGATGCGTCAGGATGGAGCGTAGGTACACATGAACTGAAATAGTGATACTTACCAGAGTGTCACCAGGTGTTTTGCTTTATCTAACTTTAAGAATGTGCCATACAATATGTGTTTCTAATCCTTTTCTCTCTGGAATCCTGCCCTTACCATATTAACATTGAATAGTATCTCAGGTTTCATTTCACAATGTGCTCATGGAGTTGGAAGGAGTTCCACGGACAGACAGTTTTTCTTTATCAATCGACGACCTTGTGATCCAGCAAAGGTATTTAAAAATTCTTTTGTATTGGTTTATTATTTGTGCCTTTGACTTTTATTATTTAATAATTTTTTCTGATATAGGCAATTTACATGGAACTTGGAACTTTGACTCAGACATGGGTTTAAAATTCTCTTATTTTGGGCATTTAAAAAATTCTGCTACAGATGGTCTCTGACTTAATGATGGTTCAATTTACAGTTCTTCTACTTTACTGTGGTGTAAAAGCTATACATGTTCAGTAGAAATCATACTTTGAGTACCCATCTGACTCTTCTACTTAGCACTTTTAATACAGTATTCGGTAAATTACATGAGATATTCAGCACTTTAAAATTCACTTGGGCTGGATGCGGTGGCTCAAGCCTGTAATCCCAGTACTTTGGGAGGCTGAGACGAGAGGATTACCTGAGCCCACGGGTTCGAGACCAGCCTGGGCAACATGGTGAGACCGTGTCTCTACAATAAATCAAAATATTATCTGGGTGTGGTAGCCTGTAGTTCCAGCTATTTGGAAGACTGAGATGGAAGGATCACTGGAGCCCAGCAGGATGACACTGGGTTGGCCATGAGCATGCCACTGCACTCCAGCCTGAGCAATGGAATGAGACTTCAACTCAAAAAAATAAATAAAATTCACTTGGATCTGCCAGATGTGATTCAGCTTCTAACTTTTGTAACCTATATTGTGGAATTATTAATTTTTAATAATTAATGTGATTTTGTGGTTTTATGTCTAATGTCACTTTATAATGTCATGTAAATATGTTCCTATGTAAATCTGAATGTGCTTTTTGAACATTTAAACTGCTTGCATTTTATTAAAATTTCTTCTACATCATCTTTAGATTGAAAAAAGATTCCATTTTAGGAGTTACAATTTAAAATATTCCTTTGAGAGGTGCAAGAAAACTTTGGGTACCAGATATATTCATGATCTTGATTGTGGGATAGTTTCACAGGTCTATGTATATATGTCACAACTTATGAAATTGTATACTTTAAATATGTGCAATTTATTGCATGTCAGTCATATCTCAAGAAGGCTGTTAAAAAATATATCCCTGGTTGGGAGTGGTGCCTCAAGCTTGTAATCCCAGCACTTTGGGAGGCAGAGGTGAGAGGACTCCCGGAATCCAGGAACTGGAGACCAGTCTGGACAACTTGGCGAGATCTCATCTCTGCAGTAAATCAAAAAATGAGCTGGAAGTAGTGGCATGTGTCTGTAGTTTCAGCTACTTGGAAGGCTAAGGCAAAGGATCACCTGAGCCTAGCAGGTCAAGGCTGCAGTAGCTGTGATTGTGGCACTGTACTCCAGACTGGGCAACTGATTGAGAGACTCTGACTCAAAAAAAAAAAAAAAAATCCCTTTGTTGGGTTGACCAGAATAACATGTTAGAATGTTGGGGCAAGGGAACATTTGTTCTTTTCTGATCTTTTTCTGATTTTGCACAGGTGTCCAGACTTGTGAATGAAGTCTACCATACATATAATCGACATCAATATCCATTCGTTGTTCTTAACATTTCTGTTGATTCAGGTAAGTTCCACCGAGATGTCAGTAAAACTGTTTACTTATGCCTCAAAGAAGAAAATGAAATTATAAAGCTCTAGTATGACTGGAAAGAGGTAACAATTTGTGGTGATGTGATTTTGTTTTTTATACAGACTTTTTTTATTGTATTTTTCTACTTGAAACTGTTTATTGTATTATTGGGAAAATAGAACTTTTTAAATGTTAATCAAGGGGAAAGCAGACTAAAATGTATTCAGTTACTTAGAAAATAATCCATTTTTAAAAAAAATGTTTATTTTTGAGTCAGTCTCACTCTTTCATCCAGGTGGAGTGCAGTGGCACGCTCACAGCTACCACAGCATTGACCTCTTGGGCTCAGGTGATCCTTCCACTTCAGCTTTCCAAGTAGCTGGAACTACAGGCATGCGCCACCATGCCTGGCTAATTTTTTGAATTATTGTAGAGACAAGGTCTTACCAAGTTGCCCAGGCTGGTCTTGAATCCCTGGGCTTAGGCAATTCTCTCGCCTCTGCCTCCCAAAGTGCTGGAATTACAGGTGTGAGCCACCACACCTGGCTATCCATTTCATATGGCAATTTATTTTTTGGTTGTTCAAATTATTGTTTATTGTCATTCTTTTTTTCCCTAGATATTTAGAGATATGTATGTGCATACCTTAAAATACATACAGTGCACACACACACCTCCACACACATACCCTATATCCTTTGGGGTCACAAAATAATTTTGTATCCTGCTTTTTATCCTTAGATGTGAGCTATTTTTTCTTTTTAAAAAGGAAAAAGTAAAAAGAGATATGATTTTTAATAATTGCATTATATTCTAGTGCATGGGTATGCACTAATATTTTAATTCTTTTGTTTTTCAATATTTAAGTTGTTTTCAGCGTTTGGAATTATAAATACTGTCCTTATAATTAAGTCATTATCTGCGCCTTTAATTAATTTCTTAAAGTAAATTCATGAGAGTGGAATTACTGGGTCATTGAATATGATCATTTTAAGACTCCTCCTTTATTGCGTTCTAGACATGTACCAATTCTACCAAAAGTATATTAGGAAATAAAACTTTTTTTATTTTAACCAAGGGAGAAGGTAGATTAAAGTTTTCTCACTGATTTAGGAAATAATCCATTTCATATAGATTTTATTATCATTTTAAAACTAAGTTCAGTAGGGAATAAAATATTTTGGTTTGTACTTTTCTTTTCTTTTTTTTTTTTTGAGTTGGAGTCTCAATCCATTGCCCAGTCTGGAGTGCAGTAGCACGCTCACGGCCACCCCAGCCTCGACCTGCTAGGCTCAGGTGATCCCTCCGCCTCAGCTTTCCAAGTAGCTGGAACTACAGGCGTGTGTTACCACGCCCGGCTAATTTTTGATTTATTGTGGAGACAAAGTCTCACCAAGTTGCATGGGCTGGGCCTGAACCCATGGGCTCAGGCAATCCACTCACCTCAGCTTCCCAAAGCGAGGGATTACAGGCTGAGCCACTGAGCCCGGCTACATTTAATGTTACATTTTCATGTGCATATTTGCTTTTTCTTTTACAGTTTGCTCAGTCAAACCTTTGCATATTTTGTGTGTTCAAAAATTATTTATCTTTTTCTCATTTATTTGAAAAAGCTTATTTTGTAATTTATGAGTATTAATCTAGACACTGTAATTTTTAAATATATTATTTTAAATTCATTTTTAAACATTTTATATATTTCTTTTTCATTGGTATTTGTTATTGGAAAATTGCTGTGGGTTTTTTGGAGGTGTTGTGTTTTCTTGCTTTTTCATGTTTCCTATGTCCTTATGACATCTGTAAATCTAGTGCAATCATCACATCTTTTAATTGTCTGGATTATCTATTGTGGAGACAGAAATTTTCTTATATGTATAGTGGTTGGGAATGGTGCTTTGATTCTAGATAGGCACAGGAATGTAGTCTCCATATCATTTTTTCAGCTGTACTCAACGTCAGTAGTGCCTATGATTTCCTCAGTGGCTTAGGCTGCAGTTGCTAGTAGAGGCTATGTTGAGGTTTTTCTGGAATTGAGGATGTCAGGTGCTTTTGGTAAGTGCAAGTGAATGAAATAGTAGATGGGGAAATTTCTATTAACGGTGAATTTAAACATAGTAAACATATTTTATTTTTGTCTTAGAATGTGTTGATATCAACGTTACTCCAGATAAAAGACAAATTTTACTACAAGAGGAAAAGCTTTTATTGGCAATTTTAAAGACCTCTTTGATAGAAATGTTTGATAGTGATGTAAACAAACTTAACGTCAGTCAACAGCCACTGTTGGATATTGAAGGTAAGAATAATAGTGTTGTGATGCTTTCCTTACTTTCTCCAAGGTAAACTTTTTGTTTTTGTTTTTTTTGAGTTGGAGTCTCTGTCACCTAGGCTGAAATGCAGTGGCACATTCACAGCCATTCCAGTGTCAATCTGCTGGGCTCCGGCAGTCCTTCCACCTCAGCCTTCCGTGTAGCTGGAAGTACTTGGAGCACACTACCACACCCGGCTAATTTTTTTGATTTATTGTAGAGATGAGGTCTTACAAGTTGCCCAGGCTGGTCCCAAACGTGTGGGCTCAGGCAGTCTACTCGTCTTGGCCTCCCAAAGTACTGGGATTATGGGATGAGCCACCAAGCCCGGTCCAAGGTAAAATTTTTTTTTTGAGTTGGAATCTTACTCTGTCGCCCAGACTGGAGTACAGTAGCACGCTCCCAGCCACCACAGCCTTGACCTGCTGGGCTCTGGCACTTCTTCCGCCTCAGCCTTCCAAATAGCCAGAACTACAGGCACGTGCTACCAAGCCCAGCTAATTTTTGATTTATTGTAGAGATGAGGTCTTGCCAAGTTGCCCGGATGCGTCTCGAACCCACAGGCTCAGGTCATCCACTTGCCTTGGACTCCCTAAGTGCTGGGATTTCAGGCTGAGCCACCGAGCCCGGCCCCAAGATAAAATTTTTGACATGAAACTAAGTCTATTTTAGTCAGAGAGTAGAAAATATGTAGCTGCAGATTTAAGGTAATCTGTTTACAAAGAGGCATGAGTGATCATATTTAGCACACACAGGAATATGCAGTGATGTCTTTCTTGGGTCATAATGGTCCCTCTAGTTTTTCGAAATTTTATTTTATTTATTTATTTATTTATCTATTTATTTGTATATTTTTTTGAGTTGAAGTCTCACTCTGTCACCCAAACTGGAGTGCAGTGGCACACTCCTGGCCACCGCAGCCTGAACCCGCTGGACTCCGGCCATCCTTCCACTCAGCCTTCTAAGTAGCTGGAACTACAGGCGTGCGCTACCAAACCTGGCTAGTTTTTTGATTTATTGTAGAGATGAGGTCTCGCCAAGTTGCCTGGGTGGGTCTCGAACCTGCGGGCTCAGGCAATCCACTCACCTCGGCCTCCCAAAGCGTGGGATTACAGGCTGAGCCACCGAGCCCGGCCATTTGTCTAAATTTTAAACAGTTGACATATGATACAGGATGAGCAGAAATCTATTGTGACGGCATTCTTTTTTTTTCACAGCCCTATGTAGTTGTCCAATCATATAGTGACAGCATTCTCAACTCCCTTGTCATTTCTGTTACTGTATATTTTTAGTTATGACCTTAGTGGTCACCCTGGAGGTTACAATTAACTTAACAATTTAATTCAGATTAATCAACTTAATTTCAAAAGTATACAAAAACTTTGCTTCTTTATAGCTCTGTTCCATTCCCTATTATTGTCATACAATACATCTTTACGTCTTTATACATTGTGTGCGTGTCACCAAAGATTTATTATTTTTGCTTTATATAGTTGTGCAGTTGTCTTGTAAGTCAGGTAGGAACAAAAAGGAATACAAACAAAATGTACATTTATACTATTTTTCATATTTACCTATATAGTTATCTTTTTTTATTTTGAGTTGAGTCTCACTCTGTCACCCCAGTGTCAACCTGCTGGGCTCCAGTGATCTTTCCGCCTCAGCCTTCTAAGTAGCTGAAATTACAGGCGCGAGCTACCATGCCTGACTAATTTTTTTAATTTACTGTAGAGATGGGGGTCTTACCAAGTGGCCCAGGCTGGTCTCGAACCCACGGGCTCAGGCAATCCACTTGCCTCGGCTTCCCAAAGTGCTGGTATTACAGGCTGAGCCACTGAACCTGGCCTATATAGTTATCTTTACCAGTATTCTTAACTTTCTCATGTGGATTTGAGTAACTGTCTACTATTCTTTTATTTTAGCCTGAAGCACTCCCTTTAATATTTCTTGTAGGGCAGATCTGCAGTGACGAATTCTCTGTCTTGGTAGCTCCCTCATTTTTGATGGACTGTTTGGCCAGATATAGAATTCTTGGTTGACAGTCTTTTTCTTTCTGCGTGGTGAATATGTTATCCCACTGCTTTCTGGCCTCTGAGATTTCTCATGAAAAATCATCTGTGAATCTGTTTTTTCTTTTTTGAGATGTAGTCTCACTCTGTCGCCCAGGCTGGAGCACCACGGCATGCTCACAGCCATCCCAGCACTGACCTCCTGGGCTCAGGCAATCCTTCCGTCTCAGCCTTCCAAGTAGCCAGAACTATAGGCACATGCTATCACACCTGACTAAATTTTGAATTATTATAGAGACAAGGTCTCGCCAATTTGCCTGGGCTGGTCTTGAACCCATGGGCTCAGGCAATCCACTCACCTAGGCCTCCCAAAGTGCTGGGATTACAGGCTGAGCCACCGAATCCAGCCTCATCTGTGAATCTTATTAAGGATCCCTTGGATGTAATGAGTTACTTCTTGCTGCTTTCAAGCTTCTCTTTGTCTTTTGATAGTTTGATTACATTGTGTTTGGGTATAGATAGATCTCTTTGAGTTTATTCTAGTTGGAATTCATTGAGTTTCTTGGATGTGTAGATTCATGCCTCATCAAATTTGGGGAGTTTTTGGCCATTATTTCTTAAAAGAATCTTTCTGCTCCTTTATCTCTCTCCTCTCCTGGGACACACAGTATGTATATGTTTGATGGTAACCGACAGGTCTCTGAGGCTCAGTTCATTTTTTTTTGTTCTTTTTTCTTTTTATTCCTGTGACTAGATAATCTCAACTGAGCTATATTCATGTTTGTGGATTCATTTCTTTCACCTGCAAAAATCTGCTGTGGAACCCTTCTAGTCAATTTTTCATTTTTGATATTATAGTTTTCAAATTCAGAATTTCCATTAAAAAATAATTTATATGTCTTTATTGATATTCTTATTTAGTAGAATATCATTCTTATGCTTTCCTTTAGTTCTGTAGACATGGCTTCCTTTAGCTCTTATAACATATTTAAAATAGCTGGTTTAAAATCTTTGTTTAGTTAAGTCTACTATGTGGAATTCTTCAGAGATAGTTTTCATTGATTGCTTTTTTTTCTGTGTATGGACTTTCTTATTTCTTTTTTTTGAGTTGGAGTCTTACTCTGTTGCCCAGGCTGGAGTACAATGACCACTCCCGGCCACTGTAGCCTCGACCTGCTGGGGCTCCGGTGATTTTTTCGCCTCAGCCTTCCAAGTAGCTGGAGTTACAGATGCACGCTACCACGCCTAGCTAATTTTTTGATTTATTGTAGAGATGAGGTCTCACCAAGTTGCCCAGGCGGGTTTCGAACCCGCGGGCTCAGGCAATCCACTCACCTCAGCCTCCCAAGGCACAGGATTATAGGCTGAGCCACCGAGCTCGACTGTCTTTCTTATTTCTTTGCTTTTTATCTGTGGAATACTGGACACTTAAAAGAATAGAATTAAGGTCAAGCAGCTTTTTTTTTTTTCTGTGTATAGGTTTTCTTACTTCTTTGCTTGTCTCATAATATTTTTTTCTGTGGAATACTGGACATTTAAAATAATAGAATTAAGGTCAAGCAGCTTTTTTTTTCTGTGTATGGGCTTTCTTATTTCTTTGCATGTCTCATAATATTTTTTTCTGTGGAATACTGGACACTTAAAGTAATAGAATAAAGGTCAAGCAATGGCTCATGTCTGTAATCGCAGCACTTTTGGAGACCAAGGTGGGAGGATTGCTTGGGGCCAGGACTCTGAGACCACCCTGGGAAACACAGCAAGAACCCATCTCTACAAAACAAAAAGCAAACAAAAACAGGATTATGGTAGTATTAACTTCATCTTACAAAACAACAACAAATAAATATAAAAATAGAATGTGGCAGTTCTGGAAATCATATTCTTTCTCACCCTAGGATTTGTTGTTGCTGTTTGTTGACTTTTCTGAAAAAATTCTATTAAGTCTCTACTCTGTTGTGTGTGGCCACTGAAGTCTTTGTTCTGTTAGCTTATTGGTTAGCTAATGATTGGACGAAGATTTTCTTAAGTGCCTGAGTAAGTCTCCCAGTCTTTGCTGAGGGGCTCTATGCCTGTTGAGCATACCTTCCACAGTCAACCAGGCTTTAAGAGTTGCTATATCTTTTTAAGTTGGGGGTCTCACTCTGTTGCCTAGGCTAGAGTGCAGTGGAACAGTCACACCTCACTGCAGCCTTGATCTCCTATGCTCAGGTGATCCTTCCTCTTCAGGCCCCCAAGTAGCTGGGATTACAGGTGCGTGCCACCATTCCCAGCTTTTTTTTTTTTTTTAGTAGAGATGAGGTCTTGCTATGTTGCCAAGGCTGATCTTGAACTCCTGAGTTGAAGCAATCTTCCCGTCTTGGCCTCCCAAAGTGCTGGAATTATAGTCATGAACCACCATACCCGGTCTGAGTTGCTATTTCTTGATTTTGGGACTGGTCACTTCCTGCTCATGTGAGCCTTGAGGTCAGCCAGAAGTGAGGGTTTAGGGCCTTCTCAGTTCTTTCTGGGCATGCAAGTGGCCTTCTAGATTTCCAGGTATAAGTTAGGTCTTTTTAAAGATCTTGTGGATATCTCAACCTTTTCCTTTTAAGCTTTTTGGTTAGTTCATTGTTTGCCTAACTATAATCCAGTGTCTCCTGGCTGTTATCCCATCCAGACTGAGCTATTTTGCTTGAATAACATTCTCTGATTGCTGCGAGCCTTTCATTAATTTTGAATTCTAAAGAAGTTGATTCTGCCAGTTGTTGTCAGTTTTCTCATTTTATGGAAGAGGGAATTTTTAGAGGGCTTCCCTCTGCCATTTCCCTGACACATCACCCCTGTGTCGTCTTCACTGAGTGTCAAGTTGAAATAAGAGTTACCACAAAGCTGATTTGACATTTGTAACTATATGTACAATCACTACTTTACTGCCTGGTTATAAATTATCAGCCATCTATTGAAGAAATTAGTTTTATTTTTATTCAGGCAAACTAAGTGCATTTGGATTATCTGGGAGAGGGAGCCAAAGTAGAGCTCTAGCTTCCTTCCTTGCAGAGGGAAGAGTCAGCCATTGCCTCTTTTGTGGTCAGATCCACTCATTTGGGTAGATGCTCTCTTCTTTAAGATAGTAAGCCAACCTGCCTGATCTCTGTCTGTCTGTGGAGAGATGGAGGTGTAGGTGCCCATCATTGTGTCCTCAGTGGGAAAAAAGACCAGAGAGCTACTGAGGAAGCTGAAACTAGGGTTTGGTGGAAAGCTAAGGTTACAGATACTCTTCTGTTGTTTCTGGAAAGGAAAATGCTCTAGGATGAGGCTTTGTAAACTGAAGCCATAAGCTAGGGGTTTGGGGAGGGACTGGGTACAGAGTATGAACAGAGCAGGCCCTCTGTTCTAACATTTCCTAATACCAAAGGCATTTCTTTTATTTATTTATTTATTTATTTATTTAGTGAGAAAGCAGGATGTATTGAGAGGACAGAAAAGCTCCCACAGTGGGAGGGGACCCGAAGGGGTTGTCAGGTAGGCATTTCTTTCTTTTCTTTTTTTTTTTTTTGGCATTTCTGAGGGGAGTAGCTATGCTGGGTCACAGGTGTACATATGTTTAGATTTAGGAGATAGTCCTAGAAAATTTTACAAAGCAGTTGTACCAAGTTCATTGTCAGCAGTATTTAAGCATTTCATTTGATCCTGATATTTGTAAGCATTTGTGGTTTTTACAATTTTACCCCTTCTGGAGAGTGTATGACTGCATCATGTTGTGGTATTAGTTTTATTTTCTTTATGATTAAACAGTGTTCATATATTTAATCAACCATTTGAATCTCCTCTTTTGTGAAGAACCTGTTTATGTAAAAATATCCTCTAACCTCATTTCAGGATAGTCCCTGATACTCTTCTCTATTCATATTTACTCAGGTAACTCAATAAAAATTCATGCAGCAGAAGTGGAAAAGCCTCTACCAGAAAAGCAGGATAATTCCCCTTCATTAAAGACTCGAGGAGAAGAAAAAAGGGATGTGTCTATTTCCAGATTGAGAGAGGCCTTTTCTCTTCGTCACACAACAGAAAACAAGTCTCAGGACCTGGAGACTCCTGAACCGACACAGAGCTCTCCAAGACAGACAAGGAGTGTACCATTTTCCAGCACTTCAGATTCCATCTCTGGCAGAGGTGTGCTGGGCCCCCAGGAAAAGGTGATGTGTTCTAGTAAGGGCTCCAGTGAACATACGGACAGAGCAGAATTGGAGAGCTCGGGGCACAGCAGCACTTCAGCTGACTTAGAGGAAGGGGTCAGTACCCCAGACACCAGTGGTCACTGCAGCAGTGAGCAAGTAGTGTGCTCCCCAGAAGGCATGTTTTCACAGGAAAATGTGGAATTTTGTGAGAAATTACCTGAAACTGACTGTCATTTTTCAGACATGGAATGCCATTTAAACCAAGAAGAAATTGGATATAAATCTAGAGTTTTGCCCCAGCCAACTAATTTTTCATCCTCAAACACAAAGCGTTTAAAAAAAGAAATTCCTTCAAATTCTGACATTCCTCAGAAGTTAGTAAATACTCAGAACATGTCAGCATCTCAGGTTGATGTAGCTGTTAAAATTGATAAGAAAATAGTGCCCCTTGATTTCTCTATGAGTTCTTTAACTAAACGAATAAAACAGCTACATCACCAAGCACGGCAAAGTGAAGGTGGACAGAATTATAGGAAATTTAGGGCAAAAATTTGCCCTGGAGAAAATCAAGCAGCAGAAGATGAACTAAGAAAAGAAATAAGGTGAAGTTTTTTCTTAAAAATATTTTGGGCATGTTAGTGATTGCATATTTTGAGTGAAGCAAGGGCCAAACCTTAGAGACTCAGTGTTTGCTCCTCTAGGGGTCTTTTGCTTTCTTCATTCCATTCTGCTCTGACAGCATTGCTCCTTCTGTCTGGCTTGGGGCTTGGGTGCTGCCCTGTCTTGGCACTGGTACCTGTCCTCTGGCTTCTGTTGCCTGTCAAGACAGTTCTACTTAGGGGCTTCCCTGCACCACAAACTCACTGCATCCCAGATGGACTCACTGACTTTTCTCCCTGGGTCTCTCCTTTCTCATTGCTCCCTGTCTCACATTCTTGTGTTGGGTCAGTTTGACTCCACAGATTGGTCGTAGCCTTGACAGTGTATCCTTGGCAGTTTTTTTTCCATTCACCAGTTTCTCACATCTACCATGTTAATTTTCTTTAAAGAATTCTTCCACCATGCTATTCTGCTGCTTGCAAACTTTCAAGAACTTTTTCTTAGATTTTACCAGCATATCCTTTCCAGATCAATCCAAATTTTAATCAGTGCATCTTGCCTCCAATTTTATTACTCTTCCTGGAGTTTTCAGTGAGCCCACAGTGACTTCTCTCTCCGTTGAATCCATGGCAATTTTGGTGGACATCATTGTTTCCCATTTTTCGTTTTTAGTGTATTAGGACAAAGTACAGCTAGTGCATTGTCAGATCTGTGATTTTGAGAAGTTTACCCAGGATAAGTGAAAAAAGACTCCATTTAAGGAAAAATATTAATAATATAGATAAAAGAAAATATAGGTAGTTACCTGCCACTTTCTTCATAATAATTATATACAGTATTATGGCTTTTTAAAATATTGAATTCTCTTGAAATTTTGTTTTAACTTTTTTCTTTTTATAGAGGTAATCATGTAAAAAAAATTTTTGTGTGTGTCTATGCTTTATTTCTAATTACTGAGATGTTCTATGCCCTGCACACAGTACAACTCAATGAGTACATTGAACTTTTATAGCACTTTTAGTCTGGACCACACTGGTTTCCCTACGTTGGATTATATAGTCTTCAACAATGAGTTGAAGAATATCTCCTTTGATATTCATAGTTTCTAGCTTTTAGAAAAGTTTCTAAATGTTTTCTAACATTTAGAAAAGTTTTCAGGAAATGTTTCCTTCCTTTCTTCCTTTATTTATTTATTTATTTGAGAAAGCAGAATTTGAGAGGAGAGGAAAGCTCCCCCAGCCGGAGGGGACCCCAAGGGGTTGCCCAAATGCTTCCTTTAAAAGTGTGAATTGCTGGGCATGGTGGCTCATGCCTGTAATATCAGCACTTTGGGAGGTCGAGGCAGGAAGGTTACAAGACCAGCATGAGCAACAAAGCAAGACCTTATTTCTACAAAAGAAAAATTAGCTAGGGTGTGCCTGTAGTTCCAGCTACTCAGGAGGCTGAGGCAGGAGGATCACTTGAGCCCAGGAGGTTGAGGTTGTGGTGGACTAAGATCATGCTGCTGCACTCCAGCCTTGTCTCCAAAAAAAGAAAAAAAATGTGAATTAATGGAGGTAAATTTTTTTGAACAGGATCTGGGGCCTGTGAACCCAGAAGAATTCAGTGAAGAAAGCCAGATTCCTTCACATGCTCACACGCCCGCATTCATACTGCACACACACTTACAATCATACAAATTTGTAATTGATAGGGAAAGACATGTAAGGTACCCAAAATTATCTTTTTTGACCTCCAGGATCCCAAAGCAGGACAAAGGAGGGTGGATTTTGAGCTGGCAGTCAATAAGCTGGTAACTGGCCCAAATATCTCACCCCCTGGCTCTGATTCCAAGCTCTCCCAGGAACTGTCTGAATATATTATCTTTTGTCTTTGGATTATTTTAGCCCTCTCAACAAGTTAATTTTTTTTAAAGTAGAGACTTTAATTAATTGGACAAATGTTTGTTGATTACTTACTATCATGGTTCTTGAATTTGGGTGCACATAAGAATCACTTAGAGGTTGGCGGAGGGAGGCAGTTTAAAAAAAAAAAAAAATCATTTAGGGAGTTTGTCAAAGAAAGCAGAACCTCTGGTCAGCTTCCAAAGACCCAGCTTCAGTAGATCTGGTGTGGAACCCAGGAATCTGCATTTTTGACAAGTACCTTGGATGGTCATTTGAGAAACCCTGGTCCACAGTGACTGGCTTCCAGTATACAGTTCCTGCCTAGCATCTACTTCAGTTCTGAGCTTATTGTTCTGATGAGGCATGGTGTAATTTACTTTTTCCTGAGAAATACATTTCAAGTTAAAGATTAGGCAGTAATTGAAGATACCGAGGTAGTGTTTACCAGCTTCTGTTTCTGTGTTTTGAATTACAACTAAATATATCAAGCAGTAAAGGTTTGTTTCTGCTTCATTGTTTGTTTAAGCCAGATGCTATTTTTTATAGTAGGAGACAGGCCTGTCCAAGACACTGAAGACTTGGATCTTTCAGCCAGCATAGGTAATATGGGAAACAGGAGCATATTCAGACATATTCAGGCAGTTCCTGGGAGAGCTTGGAATCAGAGCCAGAGGGTGTGGTATTTGTGCCGGTTACCAATTTATTGACTATCAGCTTGAAATTCACCCTCCTTTGTCCTGCTTTGGGATCCTGGAGGCAGGACCCTGACGCCTTTCTCCTTGTGCACTGTTAGATTTTATCAGTAGAGGGCACTGCAAAGACACTGCAAGGTAAAGCAGAAGAGGCTTCTCCTTGCTTGTAGGATACCCTTTTCTTTTCCTCCTACGATGCAGGAGCCCCTGCATTGCTTACTCTGACAGCCTCTCTCCATCTAGCTGGCTGCAGTCTCTCTTGCTCCAAGCAGACCACTCAACTGGAGTGGGCCTCTTCCAAGAGTTCCCTTTTTGGATATTCTTCCCTCATCTTTAGAGGTAGTAGCATTGACTGTTCCTGTATTTCTTAGTCTAGCAGTTGACCACATTTTACTGTTTCATAAGACTGTATTATAAATTTTCTCTGTTCAAATCACCAGTGTGGTTTTTGTCTCTTGATTGGACTCTGACTGATAGATAATTGTTACCAGTAGTCGTCCCAGGAGATAGATCCTCAGAAATAGAATCTGGGGATTCGTTTGTTTGTGACTTGGACTTGAGCTCCTTGACATTAGGAAATGAGAGGTTAGCAATTCATGGCATGCAGAGGCATCGCAGTTGATCAGACTGTCACCTGTGGTTGATTGTGATGAAGCACCAACTGAAGCGAGTGCCATGGGAGCCCCGGCACAGCTGTTGGAATGATGATCACAAGCACTATGGCGTGGGGTGGATCTTCCTAGGTGTACTGGTGCATGTACAGAAAGAAATGACAGTTTCAACTCCTTTCATCCTCAGCTCAAGCCACTGTCTGAGAGCCAGAGAGTTTCCATGGCACTTCTAACAGTGTCTCATTATTTGTAGTCACAGGGCTGATATTGAGAAAAAATAAATGTTCACACAATTTAATTGTGCAGGTCTCAGAATTACTCTGTTAGTTTCTCATGTGAAGGTTAGGGGTGGTGTCTGTCTTTTGTCCAGATTGACTTATATAGTGTTCAATGGCATTAAATTTTTTTTTTAATTTTTATTTTTTGAGTTGGAGTCTCACTCTGTCACCCAGACTGGAGTGCAGTGGCCACTCCCGGCCACCATACCCTCGACCTGCTGGGCTCCTGTGATCCTTCCACCTCAGCCTTCCAAGTAGCTGGAACTACAGGCGCGCGCTACCATGCCCGGCTGATTTTTTGATTTATTGTAGAGATGAGGTCTCGCCAAGTTGCCCAGGTGGGTCTCGAACCCACGGGTTCAGGCAATCCACTTACCTTAGCCTCCCAAAGTGCTGGGATTACAGGCTGAGCCACCGAGCTCAGATTTTAAAGAATTAGATTAATTTAAAAAAAATTAGATTTTAAAGCCACCCAGTGGTGAGCCTGGCAAATATTAGAAGATTGATACTCAATATTGGCGGAAAGGTACTCTTATAATACTATTGGTGAGGGTATAAACTTTTACAGATTTCCTATTAAAATAAAAAATATACATGTTTAAGTAATTCTGCTTCTAGGGATTGATCTCACAGAAATATGCCCACAAGTGAGAGCTTTATGTATAGAAGTGTTTGTTGCAGCTTTGTGTGCATTCCTGAAATTGAAAACAACTAAAATGTCCTTCAGCAAGGAATGTGTCAAATTGTGATATTTCCGCACAATGAAATGCTACATGACCATTAAAAAGAATTAAGTAGATCTATATGTATGGATCTGAAAAAATATCTAAGATGTATTAAGTGATGGAGGTAGAACAGTATGAACAATTAAGATTCCTTTTTTTTTTTAATTAAAAAATCCATGTGTAGACAAAGCTGTAGAAGTATATATATCAAGTTGTTAATGAGATGACTAATGCCATCTCTGGAAAGCTGGATGAAGGAATAATTGTTACCTTTAGAAAGTGGAGTTGTTATGGACTTTCTCTATTTTATGTTCTGTATTTGATTTTTTAATTATAGTGTTCTGTTATATAAATAGAAAAACAATCTTTTAAAATGTCTTATAATGAACATTTTCTACATGCAGTAAAACGATGTTTGCCGAAATGGAAATTATTGGTCAGTTTAACTTGGGATTTATAATAACCAAACTGAATGAGGATATCTTCATAGTGGACCAACATGCTACGGATGAGAAATATAACTTTGAGATGCTACAACAGCACACTGTTCTCCAGGGTCAGAGGCTTATAGCGTAAGTTCATTTTAATATTCAGAATTTTCAGTGTTGATTCATATATTCGCCCTTAATTTTAAGATCTGGTAGCTTGCCTGTGTGTCTAGATATATATATCTCTCTCACACATATATGTATGTATTTTTTCCATAAGTTTTCATACAGCAGATTTTTTTTCTTTTTCTATAATAGTAGTCAGAAGTTATTTATTGAGTGCCTTTTAGTGCTAGAAACTGTTGAAGCAATTTATCTGTTCATTTAATTTAGTTCATTTAATCCTCACAAACCTATGAGGCACACAGAGGTTAAATAACTTGCCCAAATTCACACAGCTAATGTGTTCTCTAAGCATCAAAACTTTTCAGGTATTAAAAAAAAATGTTGATCACTTGTTGGCCAGAAAATCCTTTTGATGAAGGGTAATTTATAGTATAGAGTATTTGTATTTATAGTATATAGAATGTAAGTGTTCAGAAGACAGCATAGCCTGTGTGTGTCTTTAGTATTCATAGAGCAATTTCATTGGCTAGGTGGTCACTGCAAAATTCAGTATTTCTCTCTCCTTTTATCTATAAAAGTGAATGTTTTACACTGACTACTTTATAAAGGTGATAGGTAAACCAGTCATAAGAAGAGGTCATGGATTTTCTTTTTTTTTTTTTTGAGTTGAAGTCTCACTCCATTGCCCAGGTTGGAGTACAGTGTCATGCTCATGGACACCCCAGCGTCGATCTGCTGAGTTCAGGTGATCCTTCACCTCAGCCTTCCAAGTAGTTGGAACTACAGGCATGTGCTACCATGCCCGGCTTTTTTGATTTATTTTTTGATTTATTGTAGAGATGAAGTCTCACCAAGTTGCCCAGGTTGTTCTCAAACCCATGGGCTCAGGCAGTCCCCTCACCTCAGCCTCCCAAAGTGCTGGGATTACAGGCTTGAGCCACTGCGCCCATTTGGGAAATTTAACAATAGATAAATAAACTGAGATCCCCACAGAAGTAGATCCGGCATGGAGAAATGTACTACCAACAGTCACTAAGGTAGGGAAATGTGCCTAGTTACTGAGTTCTCTTTCCTGTGGAATGCATTAATTGTTTTTATTTTCAGTAGGATAAATGGTAATAGTAGCGAAGACATTTAAGAAACGATAATAAATATTCCTATTTCTCTTACGGAGACCTTTTACTTTTTAGCCATTTGGCATAGATACAGTTTTGTCTGTGGCATTTCAAGTTGACCCAGATAATTGCAGGCCGCTTTGGATCCCAGATGGGCCATGCTTGAAGATTAGAGGATATTGGGAATGATTGTTTGTGGGGGCGAGCGGGGAAAGATTAGAGGATAAAGACCCAAATTATTTCCATCTTACCCTACTAGACCCTGCATAGTTTTTGAAAAGATCTTTGAGCTTTTTCTAACTCCTTGTTCCCTATACTTGAGCCACTCTGGCTCTCTTTCCTTTTCCCTTAGCAGGCTTGATGGATTCATGTGTGGCCAGAAAATCATGTGTGGCCAGAAAGGAGAATGAAGTGTGTCTTTATGTGTTGCTCTGGAACAGTGGTCCATTGTGGAGCTTGGTACAGATTGCTGTCTCTGCCTGGAATTCTTGTCTTGTACCCACCTCTCTCCATTACCTGATTAACTCTCACTCGTCCCCAGAGCTCTGCATAAGGTCACTTCCTGATCCCAGGGTCAGGTCTCACGTGCTTTATGCTGTTGTGGCACTGGATGGTTTTTCTTCCTGATTCTTCCTGTTGTTTGCAGTCATAATTGATTTGCTTGACTATTTGCTCAATGTCTTTTTTCCTCACTAATCTGTTAGGAATATGAGAGTAGAGACCAAACCTGTGTTTGCTCACCATAATATCCTGCCCTTAGCTGTGTTTGTCTTCATAAGCACTTGGTAAATCCAGTAGGAGAGATGGATGGAGAAATATGCAAGCAGAGAGGAAGGATAGCAAAAACATGCTATTTGTTCATTCTATTTTCAAATGCTAGTAATGACCGAACCCGGCTTTTCAAATTATCTTTATTGTGAGAAGGAAAAGTAGCATTTTTGTTTTATTGTTTTCCTAAGGAGAGGATCCAAAAAAAGACTGGGTCATTTGTGTGAGATGGCAGGTGGAGGAAAAAGCAGATTATTGTTGTAGCTGCCTTGACGTCTCAAAATAACTTCAAGAAAAGGAAATTAAAAGGAATGTCTCAAGAAGTTTGTGTTATTCACGTTTTTTTGAAATGAATTCAAAGTATAGTATTGTTTAAGTTTCATTTCTGCTGTATAGCAAAGTATTTGACTTCAGGATATGGCTTGAATCTCTTGTTTTTCAGACCTCAGGTGCTCAGTTTAACGGCGGTCAATGAAGCTGTTCTGATAGAAAATCTGGAAATATTCAGAAAGAATGGGTTTGATTTTATTATTGATGAGAGTGGTAAGTTATTAATTAGGATGTAATTAATTAGTTAGTTAATAATTTGACCCATGTCTTGGCACGTGAGGATGGAACTGGTGTATAGAAAACTACTGGCACTGCAGACATGATGCTGAAGTGGCGGGAGCCTTTTTCCTCTGCCTCTGTACATGCTGGGAACTATATGCCCATTCTCCACCAAGAAAGGGAGAGTCTTTAGGCCCCATTCTGACTCCCTGATTCACCAGCAAACCTGCACTTACTTGGTTAACATACTCCAGAATCATGTCTTTATAGAGCTGAGGACAAGCTTTGAGGTCTTATAGGTCAGTTTTTAAATTCTTATTTTTATTTTTAAAGACAGAATCTCTCTCTGTTGCTCAGGCTGAAGTGCTGTGGTGCCGTCATAGCTCACTGCGGCTTTGACCTCCTGGGCTCAAGCGATCCTCCCACCTCAACGCCAAAGTAGAAAAGACTACAGGCACCCATGCCTGACTAATCATAAACTTTTTTTTGTACAGATAGGTCTTGTTATGTTGCCTAGGCTGGTCTCAAACTCCTGGCCTTAAGTGATCCTCTCACTTTGGCTTCCCAAAGTGCTGGGTTACAGGTGTGACTAACCACGCCCAGCCAATTTTTTTTATTCTGTAAGAGATGAAAAAGCTTCCCCAAAAAAGCATTGGTTATTGCCCTTTCTTTCAGATGTTCATTATAAGTAGCAACCAGGTGAAAAGTATTTATCAAATAATGAATTTTTCTCAACATTTTATTCTTTTAGCTCCAGTCACTGAAAGGGCTAAATTGATTTCCTTGCCAACTAGTAAGAACTGGACCTTTGGACCCCAGGATATAGATGAACTGATCTTTATGCTAAGTGACAGCCCTGGGGTCATGTGCCGGCCTTCCCGAGTCAGGCAGATGTTTGCCTCCAGAGCCTGTCGAAAGTCTGTAAGTAAAGATAACTTATCTGCCAGCTCATCTTCTCAAGCTTGTAGTCTGAGGAAGGTCTCAGTTCAGCTCCTGATTGGGCCAAGGTTGTTATGTGCCTTTTATGATTGCCATGGGTCATTTTATATAGAGAAGTATATATAGAGAGTATATAGAGAGAGCCACATCATTCTCTGTCAATATAACATACCAGCTCAACATTCCTGCGTTATCTGTGACCTCAAACTTGTAATTATTGCTCTCTATTTCTGCTAAGAGGTATTCTACCTTAGAGCTTTTGTTGATCCTAGCACAATTAGCTATATGTGCCTTGCTCATCTATGGACCTTATGGATTATAACAACATTGGTAGATAAAGGTTTGCTGCTTCCAGGCCTAGAAGACACTGCAGCCTTCTGCAGAGTCATTCAGTCAGCAGGTATTTCAGAGGTTGCTGAGTGCAGTCATTGCACGGTGTGTCATTGCCACCGCTTGGATTAGTGTTGGAAGGTGGTGGCAGTGGTTACCACTACGTGGGGATTAGCCTGGTGTCCAAGAAAAGTACATGTCTGTATCACCTGGTGATCAGGAAAGGCCAGGTGCCATTTCTTTATGTACTCAATAAATATTCCTGGAGACCCTGCTGTATGGCTGTCCTGCTCCAGGTGCTGGGGACGCAGAGATAATAGGGCAGCTGAGGTCCTTGCCCTTGTGGAGCTTATAGTGGAGAGAACTAGATGTCAACAAAAATAAATGACACCCTTAGATGCCAGTAAGTACAGTCAAGAAATTGAAACGCATGTTGGGACAGAGAATAACCACAGAAAAATAAGGTGATCAGGTTGGATGGTGGACAGGGAACAGCATCTGAGGAGGTGGTATCTGAGCTGCCACTCACAAGGTGAACTGGAGCTCCCTTGGGTAAGAACTTTCCAAGTGAAGGAAATAGCAAGTGCAAAGACTTAGGACGTTTGAGTGAAGCCAGAGGCTGAGCATGTGCTTGGAGAGGGGACCGGGGTAAGCAGAGCAGTGTCCAGAGGACAGCCATGTAGAGTCTTTCTGGTCATGGTCAGAACCTGGGGGTCTGTACTGTGTGTATTGGGAGAGAGAACAGACTGAAAAGGAGACCATGACTGCAGAAGAGGGGGAAGAACAGCAGCTAGCTGACATTTGGGGAGTGGGTGGGATTGAGCATGCTGTGTGAGACACAGTCTGTTTGAGGTCCCGATAGACTTTAAGTGGGGTGTCTGAAAGCACTCACATGAATGAGTTTAGAGCTCAGAGGAAAGGTCAACGCTGGAAGCAAAATTTTAGGTGTAATTCATAGCCGTGAGATTGGATTAAATTACTCAAGGGCAGAGCTTAATTAGAAGAGGACCTGATCTGATGTCCAACTGTGGATATTTCTTTGATGAAGACCTAATACTGGCCTTCCAATCCTGGAGTCAGTGGGAATCAGAGCGGGGGCTCGGTGTGCTAATAACCAGACATCTTAACATTCTGGGTCTTAATGCGACTCGAGGGCCTGAGGAGCCACAAGCTGCTCCTTCACTCCCATATTGGGAGACAGCTCTTCCTCCTTCATTTCTCTTTTTTTTCCCCCCTGCAAAACAATTTATTATCCCAAGAGAAGGTCCCCCTGGGGCTTGATCCCAAGAAATAAATGTCTGATCATAAATAAAAGTGGTCCATAAATAATGCTCTCTAGCTGGGAGCTAAGGCTCAGGTTTATCTTGGAGATGGGTAGGAGACAGTAAGGACAGGCTACCCCCCACCAATAAAGCTGTTCCCTGATTCCCTGGGGGGTTCAGCCCAAAGACCTCAGTGAGGCACCAAAGGAACGGGGAGGGCCTCAAAGGCAAGGGCACTGGCCTAAGGGCTTGGGTCATGGCCTGTTCTGCAGCTTGGGACCTTGGCTGGGCTGCAGTCCCGGAGCCGGTGCATAACATAGCTGAGTTGCTAATGCAGGTCTGGGGGGCAGCCCAGCTGCCAAAGGGTGGGAAGTGAGGTAAGTCCAAGCCCTGCGATTTCAGGCCACAGAAGTCACAAGTTCCCAGCCATTGAGGATCAGCTTGGTGTGGTCCCTGTAGAAGTTCACCTGGAAAGTGCCATCACTAAACAGCATGAGTAGACCTGATCTGTCCTGATCCCCTGTAGCAGCAAAGGCGGGCAGGCATCTCCACCTCTTCCCCACTGGGCAGATCTCCAACCTTCATAAGGTGTTGCTCCAGGTAGGAGGCAAAGTACTGCAGGATACCCAGCTGAGGCTGCAGGGGCTAGGACACAGCACCCACAGAGGAGAAGTGCTTTGTGCTTGTGGGGTTGTAGTGCACAGTCTTTCTGGTGGCTTATACAGGGCCATATGTTTTCATTTTCGGAAAGCATGGCCACACAGTGGCCAGATAGTTGATACCCAAAGCCAAACTTGTTGGAGTAGTCAACCCATTTGCTGACCCACACCGGAGCCTCTGGGTGGGCCAGGGCCTAGATTCTATTCTACTGGGGGCATGAAGGCCACACAGTTGCCCAGCACAGAGGGCTGAATCCATCACTATGGCCGCAGTCAGACCTCTTGAAACCCATTTTCACTGCTTGTCAGTGTCCCGTGGGGTGAGCTGTCTTCAGATGCTATCTCTACCAGGCTGACAGGGGCTGTGCCAGCAGCTGCTGGAGTCTCAGGCCTGCTCTAAGCCCTGCGTGCCCCACTAGCCCCCTCTCCTTCCCACCACACCTCGAGCCCCGCAGTTACCTTCCAATTCCATACTCACTCCAGTCTCCTTCCTACCTCACACCTTTTCTCTCTGCCATCCCCTCTGCCTGGATATGCCGCCTCGAACCGTCACATACCTGCTTCCTCCTGTGCACAGGCCCTCCCTGCACCTGACTCAAGTAGTGTCTCAGCCCTCCTGGGAGCCACTTGTCTCGGTTCTCTGTTAATTTGCTTATGGTCTGTCTGCCTGCAACCTGGCAGAGCCCTGCTGTTACCTTGACCTTTAGATTGTGCCTGGTACACAGTAGGCACGCAGGGTGTTACAGGAAGAAGGAAAGTGACAGGGGTTCAGGCTTGTTCCTTCCCCTCACCTCTCCTTGTCTCAGGGTCTCAGTTTCTCTTTGTGGAGTCTGTTCCTCTCCCTCCTCCTGTCCGAGAGGGATCTGTACTGTGGAGCCAGCAGGGCCAGGGCTGGAGAGGGAGACAGGGGCACTACATGGAGAGCAGGCCAGGACCTGCGAGGGTGGGGAGTGATGCACGCACCCATCTTGGAAAAAGAGGGTCACAGGAGTGCCACAGTTTTGAGGCAGGTTGAAAGAGGAAGGGGGCGGCAGTGTAGCTTCAGTGGGAGAAAGGGGTCATGCTTGGACGTGCAGGCACAGACCAGTAATGGCCATATTGGATGCTGGCCAGGGGCTTTTATTCAGGTGAGAGGGCAGAGCTGTGAAGACAAGTGACATGACTTGCCAGAACTATGAGAACAATCTCTGGCTGCTGAGTGGAAAGTAGCTCAGAGGGGGCAGGAGAGCAGGGAGCCCTGTCAGAAAGTCCTGTCGGGAGGCTGCTGCAGTTGCCAAGGTGGGAGGTCAGAGTGGCTGCTGAGTGGCTGGGCCCTGGACAGGCGTGGTCAGTGTCGAGTAGAGGTGGTGCTGCTATGAAGAAGCCACTGGGCGCCTGGATTTCACAAAAACGTGGAGGGCTGAGATACTGAGAATGTGGTTTTGAGTTGTAATCTTGTCCAGTCTTATTTTGGAAAGAGTGCTTCTGAAGAGTTGCTGTTCTAATAACAAAAAAAATCAAACCTTAAACCATTGTGTCTCATACTCAGGTGATGATTGGAACTGCTCTTAACACAAGTGAGATGAAGAAGCTCATCACCCACATGGGTGAGATGGACCACCCCTGGAACTGTCCCCATGGAAGGCCTACCATGAGACACATTGCCAATCTGGATGTCATTTCTCAAAACTAACATTTCTTGCTCACAGAATTACAGATTTTATTGCAGATCTTTCTGTTTTGAAAGACAGTTTTAATTAACCTTTTTTTTTCTTTTAAAATTAACCTGCTACTTGAAAAAAAGAGTACCAGACTAATTTAAAAGTGGTCTTGAAAACCTTTTCAAACCATATGGAGATTGCTTGCAACATTTTTTGTTCTGTTTGCATTTGCACGTGTGTGTGTGTGTGTGTGTGTGTGTGTGTGTGCCGGCCAGAACATGTTTCACAAAAATAAGAAGAGCACTTTGGAGTTTACTGTGGCCTCTACTCTGGCTGGACATAATTTAGTTTGCAACTTTCTGCCCTTAAATTAATATTGATTTATTTTATAAATTTAAAGTTATGGTCCTTTGGGGTTAGCAGTGATCAGCCCGATTCATGTTACATTTTAAAAAAGGAACAATCCAAAAACTCAAGTGGCATTCTCTGCTTAGCTAGAAGAAAATGGATGGGACTAAGGTCACTATTTTTAAATGTCCCCTGTGTGACCAAGGTGGCAAAGTGCTGTTCTAGGCAGGGGAAATTAAAATAATTTGATTTTTCTATAATCTAATGCTGTGACTTGGCTTTCTTGGGGTGTGTGAACTGTAGGATATTTTAGTTACTGGGTTTGGATACTCCTAGAGGTATGAGTCCCTGTCTGTCTTGTCAAATAGTTTTTCTTGGAACCTTAAAATAACTTTGTCCTTTTTGAACTGAGCCGAAAATGAAAGTAAAGATGTCCTCTATGGAGTCCAGATGGTGGTCACTGCCCAGGGATGACAAGTGTGGGCCACCCCGTAGCCCTCAACCCTCCCGAGATTACAGGCCTTTTGCGAGGGTGAGGAGGTAGGGGATCCATTCCTGATTGAGACAGTAGTACAGTAGTAATGATTGCCATATGTTGCAGCAAGCACTGTGCCGTTGTGCATCTACAGGATGTCATTTAAGATCCATAGAAACTGCTCACGGCCATCTCAGCGTTGACCCGCTGGGCTCAGGCGATCCTTCTGCCTAAGCCTTCCAGGTAGCCAGAACTACAGGTGTGTGCTACCATGCCTGGCTAATTTTTGGCATATTGTAGACACAAGGTCTTGCCAGGTTGCCCGGGCTGGTCTGGAACCCGCGGGCTCAGGCAATCCACTTGCCTTGGACTCCCAGAGTCTTGGGATTACAGGGTGAGCTACCGTGCCCTTGCTGGTTTTGAAGATGGAAGGTGCCACTGGTCAAGGAATGCAGGTGGCCTCTAGAAGCTGGAAAAGGCAAAGATTCTCCCCTGGAGCATCAAGGAGCCACCTCTGTCGGACTAATTTACAGACTGTATGACAATAAATTTGTGTTGCTTCAGTGCACTGTTTGTGGTGATTTGTTTACAGCAGCAATGGAAAACTGATGCCTGGATTAACCCTATTTTACAGTGAAGTAGTTAGCAGAACTGGGAAAACCTAGGCCAAGTGCCTCCAGCTCCAGAACCCAGCCTTTCCCCGCAGCCTTCAGGACCGCAAGCGGGGAGCAGTCGCTCAGCCACTGTGCTCCAGCGCGGTGGCCCCTTTAAGGAGGCGGGGCGGTGCCGGCCGCGGTTGCCTGGAGACTGGTCCGGCATCTGGGACGCTGGGGCCCTGGCCGGTCCCTGTCGAGCCGCTGGGCTGCTGGGGCCAGCCGAGCGCCCCAGGCCCTCGATCCTTCGTGCGGCGCGTCAGCGACAGCAGTGACGTCCAGGTTCCGCTCCTTGTTCCGCTGGGCTGACACGGCCTCCGGGCAGCTGGGCACGTGCATGGTGGCAAGGAGGGCCTCGGACCGGGCGGAGTAGCGCGGGGAACCCAGCCCGCGCTGTGTGCGGTAGACACAGGCACGCACGGTAATCCGGCTTCCTCAGCCTGCGAGAGGAGGAAAAAATGAGGAAGTAGGGAGTGAGAAACGAGATTTGCTTTATTTGTAGTTCACTGACGACGGCCAGTCTAAATGAATGTAGAGACAGAGCAGGTTGGGCGACAGGACCCGGGGACAGCTTCGTGAGACAGGAATCGGGCCTGGAAAGAGCAACGGAGTGTTTGCAGGAAAAGAGCCTGGAGGTGGGGTTGGGCTGCTGGCGGGCAGTGTCTAGAGGATGCCATCCAGGCCGTGGCGGGCAGGGAGCGCCCACTGCACCCCTCGGCACACGGAGGGGGACCAGACCCTGCGTTGCACCAAGAGTCACCGATGCATCCTGCTTGATGGACTAGGATGCTTTGAGTGGCCAGTTTTGGAGGGCCTTGAGAACTATGGCTTTGGAACTCTCCTCCTCAGCTCTGCAGTGCAGCCCTGAACACATTCAGTACATCCTTTCTCGTCTGTTATCTTACTCAGTGGCAGTACTTAGAGGGAGTAGGCAGCCAGTAATTTCAAGCTGGAAAACAAAAGGAACAAGATAATCACTCTATTGACTTTGCCCTGTATCCTGTGCCTCGGATTTTTCTGTGCATCATCTCATTTAATCCTTATAATGGGACAAGGTACTATTATTCCTACTTGATATCTGAGGCAGAGGAGATGAAGCAACTTGCTTAAGAACACAGAACTGGCAAGGGGCAATGCGGGAGCCTAAATCCAACTCTTGAGCACTTTACAATGCTGACATGGCAAGGGGAGGGCTTTATTTTTTGAGTCAAGGTCTGTTGCCCTGCGTGGAGTGTAGTGGCACCATCACGGAGGTTCAGTGCAGCCTCAGCCTCCTGGACCCCAGCAATCCTGCCTCAGCCTCCTGAGTGGCTAGGACTACAGGCATGTGCCACTACTCCGGCTAATTTTTAATTTTTTTTTTGTAGAGATGAGGTCTGGTTATGCTGCCTAGGCTGGTCTTGAACTCCTGGGCTCAATCTTCCTGTCTTGGCCTCCCAGAGTAGAGTGCTGGAATTACAGATGTGAGTCACACTCCCCTTTGTGTCTGCTTCCCAAAGTACCGGGATTGCAGTCATGAGCCACCGCACCCAGCCAGGAGAGGTTTCTAAAGTGTGAACTGGCAGCATTCAAGACCTTAGAGGTCAAGTAGCCCTTTTTCATGTACAGGGTTACCTTTCAAAGAAATGTTAGCTGGTGGTTCCAATTTTTAAATTTTAGGAGCAACTAATGCTATATTGAGATTGTATTATCTTGGTAAACTGATAATACTTGGTACTTGTAGTTAATTTTTCAGGCTTTAGGAGGAGAATGGTAATGATATTATGTTGTAAAGCTAACATTTTAACTACAAATGAAAACCCCAAGTATTTAGAGTCCTAATTTTTATTTTTCAGATAAAACTCATCAATGCTTTGAAGCAAGCAGCTCTCAACCAAAAGAGTCATTTGAGATATATATATATACAAAATTATTTTGGGTCTTCCAAAGACAATGGTGAAAGAAAAGAAAAGAGCAGACAGAAAAGGAGATAAGTCGGCCCGCTATCCTTCATCTGTCTCTGATTATCCAGAGTTTTCCAAACAAGATGGCAACACCACTAGACAAGAAATGTCCCCAGGTGGTGTCCCACCATTGGAAATGCAACTCAACGAAATGGGACCCAAGAAAGACCCCCAAAATGTTCAGCAGAATGAAGATGCTATTCAATATGAAGAGCCCATTCTGACCAAACTCATAGTGGAAAGGTGATTTGAATGGGACAATGGGATTTAGCACTGCAAGTCAGGCATCTTTTGAAAGTTTGCTTTGCATCAAGCGTACGGATCCTCAAGCATTTTTATCATCACATAATTTTCCCATCTCAGAAAAAACTCCCTCCCTTTTATAAAAATAATTTTTAAGAATTTAAATATAATAGAGATGAGGTCTTCCTGGGCTCCCAGTTGGTCTTGAACTCCTGGGCTCAAACTATCTTCCTGCCTTTGTCTCCCAAAATGCTGGAATTACAGATGCGAACCACACTCCTCTTTAATTAAGTTGTGTCTGTGTTAGCTGGCGGGAGGCCTGCAGCCCCCATGGCTTTGCCCCACTGAAGTCTCTGGGGACTGCATCATCCATGATCCCTTTTTTATGTTTATGTTATGTCTTTCTTTTTTATGTTTTCTGTCCTCTCCCCTCTCTGTCTCTGTCTCTCTCAGCAATCTCTTCTCTAATTGTAGCTTTAGCTATCACATCCCTAATTCACTGTAAAAATCTGCCTCCTTTAGTACACAGCTCTCCTAGAATTTCAGATTAAATAATTTAACTCCTTACTGCATTCAACCTCCCTGCTGGACTTGAAATAAGGCCTGCATTTGAACCTTTATGAGATTCATGGGGTTTTTTCTTTCTCATTATAAAATCTTAGCTTTTTTTTTTTTTTTAGAGATGGGGTCTTGCTATGTTGCCTAGGCTGGTCTCGAACTCCTGGCCTCAAGCAATCCTCCCATCTTAGCCTCCCAAAGCACTGAGATGACAGATATGAACCATTGTACCAGGCTCAGCTTCAGGTTCTTAACTGAGGAAAAAAAATGAGAATATACACCTTAGAAGGTTCATCTGTTTCTTTCCCAGCTATTAGCTTCTCTGTTGTTCTGTTTCTGTAATGGCACCACCATCTCCCTACATATCAGGTTTGAGACCTTAGAACTATCCTGCTCCTTCCAGTGCCTTTCCTATTTCTTTTCCCTGTATGTTTCTCCTATTAGTCATTATATGCATAGATTCTTCATTGCCTCTCAATGGGGTGATTGGACTCTTTTTCTAAAGATTTCCCTGCTTCCAGTCTCTCCCCGCAAGCCCTCCTGTGTAGATTTGCCTTCCTAATGTGTGGCTCTGTTTACATCCCTGCCTATGTTAGTTATCTACTGCGATGTTACAAAGCACCCCAGAGCTCCGCTGCTTACAACAGTAAGTAAGATCTCACACTGTTCCTGGGGGCCAGGAATCCCACAGCTGGATTTCTGGGTCAGGCTTTCTCACAGGTTGCCATCAAGATATTGACCCTGGCTGTCATTATCTTAAGACTGTCCTGGGCTGGAGAATCTGTTTCCAAAGGGGATTACCCCCATGGCTGTTGGCAAGAGGGCTCCCCTCATTTCCTTATCACATGGACCTGTTTTTCTAGGGTTGCCTGAGTCACCCTTGTTCTGTCCACGATGTCCTAGCCGTCATAACAGGCCAGCCCTATTCAGTGTGGGAAGGGGCCACACAAGAGTGAGTACTAGGGGAGGACCACTGGGAGCCATTTGGAGGCTGGCCATCACACTCCCCTCTTGAATACCCTTTCGTTTCTTCCCATTGTCTGCAGAACTCCCTAGCCTGATGCTCTGACCCCTGCCCACCTCTCTGCCTTCCCAAACACAAGAGCCCAGCCAGGCTTCTTTCCATGATTTCATTTGTTCCTATCTTTGCTACACAGATTGCTGTCCTGGAATGTTTCCCCTTGTTTCTATAGACCAAATCTCACCTGCTCGTCAAGGTCAACGTTTTCCATTAATTCGTTCCAATAAGAAGGAACTTTCCTCTGAACTCCTGTAAACTTTAAAACCCTTCAGTCATACTTATCATCTTCTGCTATGTATATTATGCATACTACTTTCTATTACATAATACCAATTATGTATGTATCACTGTAATTTGTTTATAAGTCTCAGCTTCTCTACGTGGCTGAAAATTCCTCAATAGTAGAGATACACACGGAGCATCAAAGCCAGACCTTTGACTTTGTGTGGGTTTTCAGTTGAGATTTATAATTTGAATGATACTCATAGCTCTTATTAATTACCTCCTGTGTGCCTGTCCACAACTGTAATTGAGCACCATAAAGGGATATTAGAACGTATGAGATATGATCTATATAGGCAGTGTGTAATGATGTTCTATGCTGTGCTGCTTTAGGGAAACTCAGCGTAATGTCATCAATGTGTGTTGAGTTCCTTTAGGTAAAGTAGGACCTGCAATCACCTTAAGGCAGGAGCCCTAGGAATTGAATGTTGCATACAGAGCATGGGGAGGATGGGGGCTGAGAGTACCTGGAGGAGGGTTTTTGGAAGGTGTCCCTGATTCCACTGTGTGGAGCTACTATGAGTCATTTTAAAAATTCATTACATTTTCTTTTCAATTATTTTTTCCTTAAATTAAAAAAAATGTTTTGTAGACACAGGGTCTTGCTGTGTTGCCCAGACTGGTCTTGAACACCTGGCCTCAAGCGATCCTCCCACCTCAGCCTCCCAAAGCACTGGCATTACAGGCATGAGACGCGCAAGGGCTACATTTTCTATAGCCATCGTTTTTAATTACTGAAGTAATCTACACTCATTGTAACCAATGAAATAAGGAAAAGATATCTTAAAGAAGAACAAAGCACGCCCCTCCATCCCTTTCCAATTTTACTCTCCCTGCCCTATCCCAAGTTACCACATTCTCTCAGTTGTCATTGCATCTGTTGGGTTTTATAGGTAAATAAACACATAATCTTCAAATTGAAGTAATTTTCCGTTTCTTTAAAATATTTATGCAGATTACTTTCATTTGTTGACTTTTACATTAAGGGCCTGTAGAACATTATGGACTAATTATTGATAAAAAGCAGGCATCTTGTTCATGTTCCCAGTTTTGTGGCGTTAACTTCAGTATTTCACTTTTTTTTTTTTTTTTGAGTTGGAGTCTTACTCTGTCACCCAGGTTGGAGGGCAGTGACACGCCTCTCAGCCACCGCAGCCTCGACCTATTGGGCTCTGGCGATCCTTCCGCCTCAGTCTTCCAAGTAGCCGGAACTACAGGTGTGCTCTACACGCCGGCTAAGTTTTGATTTATTGTAGAGACGAGATCTTGCCAAGTTGCCTGGGCTGGTCTCGAACCTGCAGGCTCAGACAATCCACTTGCCTCGGCCTCCCAAAGTGCTAGGATTACAGACTGAGCCCTGTCTATTTTTTTCACTTTTAAAAATCATGGTTGCTACTGTTTTTTCACCAATAGTCTATTATGTTTAAGTAGTTTCTTCATAACAGAATTTTAAAAGAAGTGATTGCTGGACTTATATATGTGATCACGGGTATGCGATTATATGTTTGTGTGTGTGTGTGTGTGTGTGTGTGTGTGTGTGTGTTTCATTGATGTTAATTTTATATATTTTTATTGTGATAAAATATATATCACAAAATTTGCCATTTTAACCAGTTTAAAAGTACAATTTAGTGGCATTCACAATGTTGTACAACCATCATCACTATTTCCAGAACTCATTCATTCATCTTCCCGAACTGAAACTCTTTGCCTATATATTTTAACCTATTCATATATATCTTAACCCACTGTCACTTAGGTTTATTCACATCATCTGTCACCTTGAATTCCCTTTTTTCTTTATAGCTATAAAGGGGAAAAAGTTCGTGGACTGTACGAGGGAGAAGGTTTCGCAATTTTTCAAGGAGGCTGTACCTACCATGTGAGTTGTGTGCTGGGAGTCTGCAGTTGTGTGCTCGGAGGAAGTTGTGGGTGACAAGGTCCATTGATTCTTCAAAAGATATTGGAAGTACCTCATGCCGATTTTTCTTTTGAACCCTGACGATATATTTAAGGTCAAAAAATGGCTCAGTAGAACTGAATTTGTCATTTTAGATTTGTTTCTTTCCCTGATTCATGTTTATCATACAAGCAACAGTCAAGTCACTAAAGTAAATAATGAAGAGTAAAATCCCAGTGTCACCATAAATGTGACACTTTTACCATAAATGTGTTTAATTTGCTGTGGTCCTTTTATTTCAAGAGTTTTTGTTTGTGTGTTTGTTTGTTTGAGTTGGAGTCTCACTCTGTTGCCCAGGCTGGAGTGCAGTGGCACACTCACGGCCACCGCAGCCTCGACCTGCTGTGTTAAGGTGATCCTTCTGTCTCAGTCTTCCAAGTAGCTGAAACTATGGACATGTGCCACCACGCCCAGCTAAGATCCTTTTATTTCTTGAATAGATGTATTGAGATATATATTTTTTGAGTTAGAGTCTCACTCTGGCTCCTAGGCTTGAGTGCAGTGGCACGCTTCTGGCCACTGCAGCCTTGACCTGCTGGGCTCCGGCGATCCTTCTGCCTCAACCTTCCAAGTAGCTTGAACTACAGGTGCACGCTGCCACGCCAGGCTAACTTTTTGATTGATTGATTGATTTTTATTTTTATTTTGAGTTGGAGTCTCACTCTGTCGCCCAGACTGGAGTGCAGTGGCCACTCCCGGCCACCGCAGCCTCGACCTGCTGGGCTCCGGCGATCTTCCGCCTCAGCCTTCCGAGTAGCCGGAACTACAGGCGTGCACTACCACGCCCGGCTGATTTTTTGATTTATTGTAGAGATGTGATCTCACCAAGTTGCCCGGGCTGGTCTCGAACCTGTGGGCTCAGGCATTCTACTCATCTCATCCTCCCAAAGTGCAGGGATTACAAGCTGAGCCACCGAGCTTGGCCTGTATTGATATTTTAACATGGACATACTCATTTTGAAGTTATCATTTTGGGTCTTTTCACCTATGAATCTTTCCCTGTATTGCTGCCTGGTTTTCATAATTGTTTTAAAATTGTATTATGGTGGTAAAATAGACATAACACTTCTTATTTTAACCATTTGTAAAGTGCATGTTGTTTCAGTGGCATTATGTTCATTCACATTGTTGTACAACAATCACCACCAGCTATTTCCAGAACTTCCTCATCTTCCCACACTGAAACTGTCCCCATTGAGCATTCATGCCCATCTCCCTCTTTATAATTGTTATAATTTTAAAATTTTAGTTTATTTATTTTTTTTTAGAGAAATGTCTAGCTCTGTGGCCCAGACTGGTGCAGTGGTGCTGTCATAGCTTACTGTAACCTGTAACCTTGAACTCCTGGGCTCAAGCAATCCTCCTGTCTCAGCCTCCCAATTATCTGGGACTATAGGTACATGCCACCATGCCCGGTTATTTATTTATTTATTTTTGAAGAGACAGGTTCTTTCTATATTGCCCAGGCTGGTTTTGAACTCCTGGCTGAAGCAGTCTTCCCACCCCAACCTCCCAAAGGGCTGGGATTACAGGTGTGAGCCACTGCACCCAGCCCATAGTTGTTATTTTTGATATTACAAAATTGTTAATTTTGATATTGTGTTCTAATTTGCTATTCATAACTATTTCATAATTGTGGGTACTTTGGAGGTGTTATAATTTTTTGCCTGTGTTACTAATGGCACAGTGATGATATTTATCCACTCATTTAGCTTATCAAAGAAATATGTGCTTATTGCAGAACAAATTTTTTTGCAGCTGAGGCCATCCTTAGCTTATGAGGATGAGAACCCCCTCTTAGATCCTTTCTCAGGCACATGGGCTCAAAGCTGGGCTCTACTGCTTTTGCTGAGCATGCAGGCAAGTTCATGCACATGAAACCAGAACAAGGCTCCATCCAAGGAACTGAAGCCGTGGATGGCAGTTGTAGTGTGCAATCAACGGCTGCATTCTAAGGGCTTGTTGTTTTGTTGTTGTTGTTGTTGTTTTGAAGGGTATGTTCTCAGAAGGACTCATGCATGGACAAGGGACTTATATTTGGGCCGATGGATTAAAATATGAGGTAAGGTATATCATAAGTTATAGTTCTAAACTGTAATTGTGAAATTTAATGGTCATAATCAATAAAGATACGATCTTCATAAAAGTAATTCAGCACATGGATAAAAACAACTGATAAAAACAAAGGATATAGTAACTGCCCAAGACCTGCCAATAATTGTTACTGGTTTCATTTGAGCATTCTAGAGTATTCTGTGTGTTCTAGGCATATAGAGTACACCTAATGTGTTTTTTGTCCCTCCTACTGTTTACAAACCCAGATCGTTTATTTAATACACTGTCGGTGGTACCTTTATTTTTTAGAGGTCAAACTGTATCCATCCGAGTCTAACTTTTTACTGGCTGCATGTATTTCATTATGTGGATTTCACTTAACCCACCTTGCTGGTGTGGAGGGGGATGTATATTTTTAAGTTGATTGCTAGGACCAAATTGCTCTGCAGGAGACTGTACCCGTTTCAGCTCCCACCCACAAAGTGTATGAGTGCCTGAATTGCTATCCTAAAAATCTGGGTTACAGAGTTACTAACAGATGGTGTTTATAAGTGGCAATGATGACATTTAAAACTCATGCACATAATGCACTTATTCAAATAGCAACCAGGCAGTGACAGAGGCAGAGACAAGTTCAGGCCAGGAGGGCAGCTAACTGCAGCTGGACGGCGGGAGGTGTGCTGCGAGGTGCAAGGAGAGGGAGGGTGGGGTTGGCCTTCACTGTTGGGAGAAGAAAACAATGTCAGTGTCCGGGACAGCCTGAGGATTGGGCCCCGACGATAGATTTGCGCCAGCCTGTCTCAGGGAACTCCCTTCCCACGCAACATCCCGCCTTCTCTCCTATGGCCTACGTTTAAGGTTTCTGGTCCAAGAATGGCGACTTGTCAGGGAGTCTCCTCTGCTTCATAGTCTCGTAGGCAGTGTTGCGGGGGAGGTGGGAGGCATTTTTACAGACACAGACTTTCACACCAGCCCAGCCAGGAGGGTTTAGCGGCAGGATTCGGGGGCTCCCAGAAGGATCCTCAGGGAGGCCAACTGGCCTCACACAACATGACTCATGGCCAGGCCAGGATGTTCTGTCCCCTTTTCTCTGCTGACTGGCTGCCTCCAGGGTAATCAGATTTAATCAGATTCCTGGAGGAGAGTCCAATGGCTCTGGGCTGTGGTGCACTCTGCTGCGTGCTGCCCACTCAGCAGACATCCTGGGTCTGCACAGAGCGGATTCTCTAGAAGGTGTCCACGGATGGACTGTTGCCTGGCATGTTTGTAGAATATTTTGATGACCCACAGGCAGAAAGAGGGGTTTGCTTAGGTGATTGTTAAGCCTGGATGATCATCCAAATCTCCTGGAGGAGACAGTGAATAAGCTTCCTTTGAGGTGAATTCTAAGAAGTTAAAACTCCTGGTTGGGTACGGTGGCTCATGCCTGTCATCCCCAGCACTTTGGGAGCCTGAGGTGGAGGATTGCTTAAGGTCAGGAGTTTAAGACCAGGCTGGGTAACATGGTAAGTAAGACTCTACCTCTACACAAAATAAGTTAAAAAAAAAAAATCTGAAATTCCCAAGGTCAGGATTGAAAGTTACCACAGTACCATGTCACCTGCTTGCATCCTGGATCTTATTCTACATGCAGCCTTCCAGGTATTTTATTCTGCCTGAGCTTCCACCCAGTGGAGGCATCAGCTGAGAGAGGGTAGGAGACGTGGAGAAGAAAAGAGGAGAGAGAAAGGGGTGTGTTCAACTGTTATCACGGGAAGAGAGGCAGAAATAGTATCAGAAGTCAAGAGGTGTCTCTAACAGCTCACAGGATTAGAGATCAATTCGCTGTCTTCCTCCTGTCACCCTATGACCATTTTATCTTAGGGGGACTTTGTGAAGAATATTCCCATGAACCATGGTATGTACACGTGGCCTGATGGCAGCATGTACGAAGGAGAAGTGATCAACGGCATGAGGAACGGCTTTGGTATGTTCAAGTGCAGCACCCAGCCCGTGTCCTACATCGGCCACTGGTGCAATGGCAAGAGACATGGGAAGGTGGGTGAGGCAGCCACTGCAGAGTCCCATCTTCGAGCAGAACGCACAAACCTGGAGGGCGGGGGTGGGGTGGCTGTGGAGGGCATATTCGCTTTTTATTGAGGTGAAATTTACATCACATCAAATTAACCATTTGATTTTATTTACTTATTTGTTTTCGAGTCAGGGTTTCAATCTGTCACCTAGGCTGGAGTGCAGGAGCACGATCCTGGCTCACCACAACTTTGACTTCCTGGGCGCAGGCAATCCCCCCACCTTGGCCTCCCGAATAGCTGGGACTATAAGCATGTGCAACCATGCCTGACTAGTTTTTTGATTTTTTGTAGAGACAGGGTCTTGCTCTGTTGCCTAGGCTGGTCTCGAGCTCCTGGGCTCAAACAATCTTCCTTGCTTTGGCCTCCCAAAGTGCTGGGATGAAAGCGAGAGCTAACACGCCCAGCCAAAATTAGCCATTTTAAAGTAAACAATTCATTGGCATTCATACATTCACAGTGTTGTGCAACCATCACCGCTGTCTAGTCCCAAAACATTTTAATCACTCTAAAATAAAACTCTGTACCCATTAGGCAGTTATTCCTACTTGCTATCCCCATGTCCCCTAGTAACCACTAATCTGCTGTCTCTATGGTTTTTTCCTCTGGACATTTCTTATAAATGGAATCATATATGATGTGATCATCTGTGTCTATATTCTTCCTCTTAGCATAATATTTTAGAGGTTCATCCATGTTGTAGTGTGTATCAGTCCTTCATTTCTTTTTGTGACTGAATAATGTTCCATTGTTAGTGTTTGCCATAATCTGTTTATCCGTTCATCCACTGATGGACATCTGGGGTGTTTCCATCTTTTGACTATTATGAATAGTGCTGCTATGAATTGTGTGCATGGATTTATTTGAGTTCTTTTTGTCCTCTTAAATAACTAAAGATGCCCTTCTTCCTCTTCCTTCTCTTCCTCCTCCTCTTCATTTTCCTTCTCCTCTTCCTCCCCTTTTCTCCCTCTTCCCCCTTCCCTCCCCCCTCTTTCTCCTCTCTCCTTCTTCCTCCTCCCTTGTCTTCAGGTCTTTTGGGGGGCATACACCCAGAAGTTGAATTGCTAGGTCATTTGGCAACTTTACGTTTCGTTTTTTGAGGAACCACCAAATGGTTTTCCATAGCATCCGAACCATTTTACAGCCCCAGCAGCGATGTAGGATATAGTCACTTTAACCAAGATTGCTATTTGGGTATTATTGTTTTACTTCTGCATAGGATGATAAAATACTGGTGCAATTTTTTAAAAAGCTGTAGTTTTTAGAAAATGTCATAAAAAAGAAGAAGTCTACCACTGTAATCACCACTGGTGGGAACGTTCACTTGCGGGAGTATTGTTACCAAGTCCACAACTGTTACCTTCCTGAAATGCGGGGTAGCTCAGTATTACGTGTAGTTTCTTAAATAACTAGAGATGCCCTTCTTCTTCTCCTTCTTCTTCTCCTCCTTCTTCTTTCTTCTCCTTCTTCATCTTCTTTTGTAATTTATGACTACTTAGTAAGGTAAGATAAACATCCTGGTTTCTTTTCTTTTCTTTTCCCAGAAAACAGGATTTATTGAGAGGACAGAAAAGCTCCCACAAGGGGAGGGGACCCAAAGGGGTTGCCCCCTGGTTTATTTTCAAACCCATGAAAGTTAGTTAGTGGGTGGAGTCCCAGGCATTATTTATTTAGAATAATTATTTACGTACAAGTTCCATAGGAATCAGCGCCTCTGGCTCAAGCAGTGCTCTGTGAAGAAGTGAAACACAAGAGAGAGCAGTCCTGCAGAAACTTTGTGAATTCTGGCTTTAGAAATTTTTTTGTCTGAACAGCACTGACAATTCTTTTTTTTTGATTCGGAGTCTCCCTCTGTTGCCTAGGCTGGAGTGCAGTGGCATGGTCATGGCTCACTGCAATCTCGAACACTTGGGATCAAGGGTGTTTCCTCTTGCCTCAGTCTCCCAATTAGCTGGGCCTACAGGTGCACACCACCACTCCTAGCTAATTTTTTAATTTTTTATAGAGATGAGGTCTTGCTATGTTGCCCAGGCTGGCTCAAACTCCTGGCCTCAAGTGATCTTTCTGCCACAATCTCCAAGCATCTGGAACTACAGGTGCGTACCACCATACCTAGCTAATGTTTTCATTTTTTGTAGAGACCAGGTCTTACTGCATAGTCCAGGCTGGTCTCAAACTCCTGGACTTAAGCAATCCTCCCACCTCAATCTCCCAAAGTGCTGGGATTACAGGTGTAAGTCACTGTATCTGGCTATCACTGACGATGAAATTCCAACTTCTGTTCTTCTTCCCCTGAAGTGGCCTGGTCTGTGTGATGTTTTTTTTTGTTGTTGTTTGTTTTTTTTTTGTTTTTCAAAAAAGTGGAACTACTGGATGGGATAAACCTGGGATGAGAAGTCCTCCCATGAAATATATACCACAGTCACTGAAAGTCAACTGAAAGCCTTCTGACAAACCAAGGAGGATTTCCAAAGTCCCTGCATAAAGGAATATCTGATTTTCAGAGTTCAAAGGGAATTAGAGGCTGGGCATGGTGGCTCATGGCTGTAATTCTAGCATTTTGGGAGACCAAGGGAAGAGGATTGCTTGAGCTCAGGAATTTGAGGCCAACCTAAGCAACATAGCAATGCCTCATCTCTACAAAAAATTTAAAAAAAATGTAGCCAAATGTGGTAGCATACACCTAGCTACTTGGGAGATTGAGGTGGGAGGATCACTTGAGCTCAGGAGTTTGAGCCTGCAGTGGGCTACGTATGTGCTAGTGCACTCTAGTCTGGGTGACAGAGTAAGACTCTGACAAAAAAAAAAAGAAAAAAAAGGAATTTAGGGATTCAGTTCAAGCTTCCTTTTTAACTGATGCTAGCCAAGAGAGTTAGGTGAGAGTTCACCAGGGCCTGTGGCTAAGCTGTTTATCTCCCTGGCCTCCCCTCACGGCTGTGTAAAGGGGAGAAATACTCAGGCCCTCTCCAAGATCATAACCCTCTTGCCTTTCTCAGATTTTATTGGACTGCTTCCTTAGAGTTTCTTTCCCTCCCTCCCTTCCTCCCTCCCTCCCTCCCTCCCTCCCTTCCTTCCTTCCTTCCTTCCTTCCTTCTTTCCTTCCTTCCTCTCTTTCTTTCTTTTTTTAGCTCTCAGCAGATAACTGAATAACTTGAGACATGTTAGAGGTGTTGGGGACAGTGACTTCTAGACAACAGCATATGCCTGGCTGTAAGAAGGACAAGTTAGTCTGATAATGAGGAAGACAGAAAAATCTTTCTTTCTCTCTCTCTCTCCTCTCTCTCTCTCTTTCTTCTCTCTCTCTGTCACACACACACACACACACACACACACACACACACACACACACACACACACACACAAAGATAAGTCAGTGAAAAAGCCATTTGAAGCCATTTGGTGTAGATCAAAGAAAGGTTACACTGTGTTCACTTATACTCGGAGGCAGTAAAATGAATAGGATGTCAAAACTGAGTTTAAAACTGGTTTTGGGCCGGGTGTGGTGGCTTACACCTGTAATCCCAGCACCTTGCGAGGCTGAGGCAAGAGGATTTCCTGAGCCCAAGCATTTGAGGCCAGCCTGGACAACATGGTGAGACTTTGTCTCTGCAGCAAATAAAAAAATTAGCCGGGGCCTGTTGTCCCAGTTACTTGAAGGCTGAGGTGGAAGGTTTGCCTGAGCCCAGCAGGTTGAGGCTGTGGTGGCTGTGAGTGTGCCACTGCACTCCAGCCTGGGCAACAAAGTGAGACTCTGACTCAAAAAAAAAAGAAAAGGTTTTGGTACATAAGAGAGAGTGACCTTCGATTACATGGGAGGTGGTTATAAGACAGAAATTCTTTAGGTACTTATTTGACTAATAGTTATTGAATATAGTATATATACCTGGATATAATGAATTAGTCATTCTGTGCCTCAATGTGGTGCTCTGTAATTAAGGAGTAATTGATTTGTGTCCTTATCTCATTCTCCTTCAGTGTGACTATTTTACTATTTTCTTGATTGCAAAACAGCAATATAACAGATTATATGTCTTGCCTAAGTATGACATTGACTTCTTTAGAGTTTACCTTTCTTAAATTCGTATATTTTAATCTTTACCTTTAAGCATTTATATCATGAGACTTGCTTTTGTAAAATGATATTATTTGTTTTAGGGCTCCATTTATTACAATCAAGAGGGTACCTCTTGGTACGAGGGAGACTGGGTACACAACATCAAAAAGGGCTGGGGAATAAGATGGTAGGTATGATCGTGGTCGCATTTGGGGTGTGGGTGAAGAAATGTTTGTGAGTCCAAATAACATTGACTTGGACTATTTAAAGATAAGGTGCAGAAATTGCAGAGAACACATTTTTCTCTCTAAGCAGGATGGAATATTTAAATTAATCCCAATATAATCTCCACAGTGATGACTATGGAAATTTTAGAAAAACACGCTGTTAAATAATATCTAACCATACTGTTTCACTTTAAAATATGTAGAAGATGCTTTTCTTTGCTCTCTGTATTAATCATGGACCTCCAATATTTGTTGTATGTTTTTTGAGGGATGTTGACACATTTGCTTGATTTCAGATGGATTTAATAGAATTAAATATTTTAAAGATTAAAATATTTGGGGGCAAAATATTAACTAATCATAGCACAACAAAGAATTGTTAAAAGATTAATAAGTGCTGCTCTTATTCACTTTGTCACCTTATTAAATAATCAGATGTTTTAATAAAGTGATTCATCCTGCTTCCTTAGGTGGTTCTTTTTACTGACCACATGCCTAGCCACTGAATTTAAACACAGTGAAGATTGTATGAGCACAAGGGTTGGATTTCTTCAAAGGTGTTTGGGGGAAAGTTTAAAAGAAAGTCTTTTTTTTTTTTTTTTTTTG